GTAGAGAAAGAGAGGGCAAAGACTTTTTCTTGTGTCTACTTCTTCTCATTGCCTTCAGCTCAAAATAATCCTTATGTCAAAGTGGCACATTTTGGAGTGGCATAGTCTGAACCCCTTCACTTATTTGTATACTTATTTATTATCTGTCTCCACCTCTAGACTGTAAACTCCTTATGAGCAGGGACTGTGGCTTGGTCACCACTCTATTATCAATACTTAGAACAAAAGTATAAAGTGGCAAAAGCAGGCATTCAGATATTTTTTGAATGTTCCTTCAAAGATATGAAGATAAAACCTGTTATTTCAGGAGACAGATGTTTGCCCTGCGTCTTCAAAGATGTCATGTTTATTTTGAATGAGAAATGCTCATTCTATGAGCATCCTTCTGCTGGGTAAAACAGTATTTGTCTCCCAAAGAAATATAAGGTTCCTGAAGGACCTCTTTAAAAATATCACAGCTTCATACAGTTTTTCTCAACCTTTCATTTTCTGTTGGGAAAGTGTACTCAATAAATATAATTTGCACGTGCATATTTTCATGAACACAAGTCAAGGCCCTGCTCATAAATCCAGCAAAAGCCCAAGAGTAGACTTTGGTCTACCTTAGGTCTCATGTCTGCCCCCATACTGAGAGTGAAGGAAGGCCTAGCAACCCCCCCCAAACCACATGAGGTGGGTTGCCCATAAAAAAGAATAACTACAGGGGCACCTGGGTGGCACAGTCAGTTAGATATCTGACTCTTGGTTTCAGCTCAGGTCGTGGCCTCAGGGTCTTGAGATCAAGCCCTGCATCGGGCTCCACGCTCAGCACAGAGTGTGCTTGGGACTCTCCCTCTCCCTCTGCCCCACCCCCCTCTCCAAAATAAATAAATCTTAAAAAAAAAAAAGAAGAGCTTCATTCTCAGGAGAAGGAGAAGAAAAGTGACCAACCAAAATCACAGGTACTATAATATATTACTAGTGGGCAGGCTTGAACTCTTATGAAGTGATTTCTATGTGCCATGCATACTCTTTCCTTTCCACCCCTCTTCGAGAAAACATATGTGAATGGGAATGATACTGAGATTACCTTGAATTCTTTTCAATTTATTTTTTAGGTAAATTATTTACATATTTCCATAATTAAACTATTTTGATAACATTACATGCAACAAATGTATTATCTGATTACAACACATTAGTTAGCAAGTATTTATTTGTGCTCTCACTAAATTCCAAGCACAAAAAAAAGAGAATTTTTTTATCCCCAAAAGATTGAGAATTGCCATTTTCACAGACAGAATTCCAGACTGTATTGTGAAGATCAACTACACAAAATATAATCATCACTTTATAGTTATAACTGTGATTTTTAAGAGCAAGAAACAAACCATTAATAAACCAGTCTTGCGTTAGACATCTTGACATTTAAATTGACTTCATGCAAATAAAATAAGCAAATTGAATTTTCCAATTTATTCATTGACACTATATGGATGCATTTCACATCCACATCTTAAAAATGTAATAAGAAAAATTTTATCTCTTTATGTCTGGCATGCCTGTTCCTGATGAATTCCATAACCAACTTGGGTAACACTAAACTGAGAGAAATCTCACATCACTTTTTTTGTCCTCATTTTATTATTGTGTGATCTTTTCAAGTAGTTGATTTTGTGTGTGTCTTCCTTGAAGCATTCTGAAGTTACTACCCATTTCTACTCCTTAGATAAAACTTGTTCTTCCGGCATGGAAATATCAAGGGGAAGAATTGCAATGTTCATGCCCATGGTCCTCATCATAAGAGAGTTTTTACTTTATCCTGACCTGACTTTGAACATTTAGGGAAAATGCTCAGTTTGTAGCCTTAGCTAATAGCACTACAGTGTCACACTTTCTGTTTAACATTCAGCTTTGTTAATCAAGGAAACCAGATTGCCTCTCTGCATGTTGATTAAATTGATTACAGCTGTAGGCCTTGATAGCATTTTTTCAAGTGTCCCTAATTAATCAGACAATGCTTGATTAGTTTTTTCTGTTTTGAGGAGATAAACTGACTTTCTTGAGAATTTTCACCCCGAAATGATTCTCCTCCAGTGAAAGGTAAAGGATAAGTTATAGCATTAGATAAAGCAGCTGTTGTTTATGCAAATGAAAACTTGACAATTTCCAGGAACATTACCAACATTTGTAAAGACCCAAAATGTTCTGCTTTCATCATTGAAGTTGGTATTTCCAATGGGGAAGGCTGCTAGGATCAGCTCAGATGGTACATGTTGGCATGAGGAAGGCACTGTTTTCCTCTCTCCTCCCCTATTGGTCGAGGGACCAATCTAGACTCCTGTTTCCAGTAATCATTCATCACTTAAAACACTTTTTAAAAGATACTTTGACGCTGTGTTTCAGAGAAGTTTTCTTATAGATGTCATCAAGTTGAAAGCTCCTGAAGAGAGAGAATCTGCCTTTAAAAAGGAAAGTAGAAAAAAATTCAACCAGAGCAGAAAGATAGAAAGTGAGAAACAGATCTTACTCCTCCCACCCCCAAACCCACATTTCTGCTCCCAGGTATGCTGATGGTTAACAGTTTCTTGGGCATCCTTCTGAAATTTCCTGTGCATATTATAAGGAAATACATATTTTATTTATATATTTTTTCAACATAAATGGGATAAGACTTTCTACTATTCTAAAAAAAAAAATAAATAAATGCTAACATTTAGTATTGACCAATTTCTTTTTTTTTAAGTTTATATATTTTTAGTAATTTCTACACCCAACGCAAGGCCGGAACTCATGACCCCAAGATCAAGAGTCATATGCTCTTCCGCTCTTCCGACTGAGCCAGCCAGGCGCCCCAGTATTTACTAATTTCTTAATTCAGTGACTACATTGTTTTTCTTTTTTCTTTTAAAAAATTTTATATTTAGCTGACAGAGAGAGAGACAGCGAGAGCAGGAACACAAGCAGGGGAGTGGGAGAGGGAGAAGCAGGCTTCCTGCTGAGCATGGAACCAGATGCAGGACTCGATCTCAGGACCCTGGGATCATGACCTGAGCCGAAGGCAGACGTTTAACGACTGAGCCACCCAGGCGCCCCTACATTGCTTTTCATAAGACAAGACAAAAAAATCTCACCTTCAGGGACTTTCACATCTCTTTGGTATTCTTAGACAAGAACACACGCATTAAATGATATAAAAAAGCAAGGGGGGCGCGGTGGTCCTGGCATTTGCCGAGAATGAATCCTATTTGGACTGTTTCTACTACTCTTTCTCTCCTTTCCTCCTCCAGCTGAGGTCCAGGACAGCAGCCCAGCCATGTAATATTGAGTTTACTCCTCTCCCTTCTTGGTCCTCTCTGCCAGATTTTTAAAGAGGTGCTGATTGTGAAAGAGTCTTGCCTCTTCTCAGACCAAGAGAAGGGAGAGGGGAGTGTGCGCTGGTTTAAGAAAAGCATCTGACAAAAATCCAACTTTTTATCATGTAAGGCACATACACATGCATTTAAATAAACACTTTACATAATATGAATATTACATTTTATCAGTAAAGATAGAGCATGGGTTCCATTATGCTGGATACTGATGTCTTTGATGGCCACAGTTCCCAAAAGATAGGTGGTTCCCCAAAAAACATAATCCAGTTGACAGAACTCTAAATGGGGGGTCTGCTTTCCTGTGTGTCCTCTTTTTTTTCTCCCCTCAACAAGCCTGATTACACACACATAATCATTACATGTGCGGTGGCATGAGACAATTAAAAAAATTAGACTTTTAAAAGATCTTGCCCAGCTTTTCTCTGGAAAACTTGAAATGAAGTATTTTGCTTTAAACTTGGCAAAGCTAAAGACCAAAGTGATGTCTGTGATCAGGGAAAGTCTGACTAATAATCGAATACCATTACGGGGCCAGAGCACCACACACACTTTTTGCTTGTCAAAGGTGATGAAAGATACGCAGAGGGCCCAAATCAAGCAACATAATGAGAGCACCATGGAAATGATTTTGTTTTGAGCATTGCTGAGTTTTAAAGCACAGTAATTTATTTCAAGTTTTTCATTAAACATTGAATTGTCAATTGTGGAGACTTTTGAAAGCGCTTCGTTTTGAATTCCTCAAATGTGCATTCGTCTAACAACTGTAAACCTTAATGAGACTTTGGGGTGGGGCTGCACTTTCATTTATTCTAATTAGTCTCTACTTGCAAGATCGGTTGCGAATTCTTCATTTCATGAATGAAGTACAAGAAAAAAAAAGAGAGAGAGAAAGAAAATAAAACAAATTATTGAGTTCCGGATGAAGGCATTTATTTTTTTCTGGAGAGTAATTATGAAACACAATACAAACCTCATCGAATCTCATTTCTACACATCATTAAAGAGCTTCTGGGCCAAACAGTGACCTTTTGCTGAAGAGTGTGTAAAACTTACTAGTGTGGAAAAAATGATCATTGGTTCAGGGAGGACACTGTCACACTCATACCTCCCCCACTCTGTGCTCACTTTTTTTCTTTGCAGAGTTGGGAAAATAACCAGATTAAAAAAAGCGAAAAACAAAAAACAACCCTCATTTCACCAGCAGAGGTCACCCTTTCTCCTTTAACGTTCCCAGTAAATGGTTTCTCGGCTGTGATTCCTTAGTCCAAGGAAATGCAGGAGCTTTCAGCTGGAAGCACAGCCAGAGGGCTGGTGGAAATACATGCATCATTCACACTGGCTGTATCTTCTTGCGTAAGCACTGTTGAAACATATTATCTACCTGGACTTTTAAATAGATAACTTGCATGCAATACAATAAATATAATCATCCTACTCTTTAGTTCATCCACTTCATCAACTATTATTCCGTGCTTGCCAGTGCCAGCTCAAATTCTTTTTTTTTTTTTAAAGATTTTATTTAGTTATTTGACAGAGAGAGACACAGCGAGAGAGGGAACACAAGCGAGGGGGGCGGTGGGAGAGGGAGGAGCAGGCTTCCCACAGAGCAGGGAGCCCGATGTGGGGCTCGATCCCAGGACCCTGGAATCATGACCCGAGCCGAAGGCAGATGCTTACCCGACTCAGCCACCCAGGTGCCCGCCAGCTCAAATTCTGCCCAGTTCTCTGACTCATGGACCGAAGAGTAGGTTCTCATAACCCCCCGGAGATGACGAGTCCTCAGAGAGAATCCCCTGGTGAGTTTCTGCAGGGGAAAGAGGAAGAATTAAGTTGGGTGAGGACTGACCAAGCACGGAGCCCAGCACCAGGTTCTGGAAGGTAAGCTAGAGAGGAATAGACCCCAGTCCTGGCTTCTGCTTGTGGTTTTCTTTCGGAAACAAAAGCATATGTTTGTAGTTCATTTGAGGACTAATACTGGACTGCAGAATGAAGTTCTAGGTGGATTATTTATGAGTGTCCTGAGAAGGGGTCAGTCCATAAGTACCATCTACAGAAGGTCAGGGGTAGGTGAGCGATGGAACTGCCTCCATCCTGTTGTCTGGTGCTGAGTGGGGTGGGGGTGGGGGGATAGCACATGTCTGGCCAAATCAAAAACATGGGAATTCCTTTTCTCTTCCTCCCTTTAAGGGGGAAATAATAGGCATTCTCTTGGGGTCCGTGGGAAAACTGGGCTTATTGGTTTTATGGATGGTGAAGATCTTTTCTAGAATTCCCTCCCTCCCTTTCCTTTCTTTTTTCTATCTGTAAATCAAAGTTTTAGTTGGCATTTTAGAAGTTTAAAAATAAGGTGGGTTTTGGGGATTCTCCCTTTCCTTTCTTTTTTCTATCTGTAAATCAAAGTTTTGGTTGGCATT